CCCTGGGATCATGACCTGAGCCGAAGGCAGATGCTTAACGACTGAGCCACCCAGGCGCCCTAAGGGTCGAACTCTTGGTATCAGCTCAGGTCTTGATCTCAGGGTTGTGAGTTCAAGCCCCGTGTTGGGCTCCACGTTGGCTGTGGAGCCTCCTTAAAAAAAAAAAGAAAAAGATAATGACAGAGTATCAGTATGGAAATTTCTTCATGAAATATTAAATTAACAAACAGCCATGAAAGAACAGATACACTGTGGACCTCTTTTTACAAATACATAAACACATACAGAAAACATCTGGGATAGATTCCTTTGGAGCATTTGTCAGAGCTGTCACATACACACACCTATGGGATAATCTGATCAATGTATGTATTCTCCCACTAAAATGCGAGGACAGGTTTCATGAGAGTTTTGCTCAACATTATGTTCCTGAGCCTAGCATACTGTCTATCATATGGTAGGTGCTCAATAAATAGATGCTAAGTGAATGAAGGCAAGCTGCATTTCAAATGATGGACCCCTATTAAACTACTGCCAATATCTTAATCTGGAATGCCCACAAAAGAAGTTTTTCAGTGAATTCCTAATTAATGATATCAGTGAATTCCTGACCAATATTTTTTGAACTGTCCCCATGCTCTCAAGTATTTAGCACTCTTTTCCATTGTAACAAATGGGGTAAAGTATGAGAAAGATGACCAAATCTTCAATAAAGAGTATCAGATTACATAACCTCCTGGGGGTGGGGTGGGGAGTGTCACTACTTATCTTGCTAGTTCTCAACAATACCAGAACTCAATGAACAGTGTTGGGTTGAACTGTATGTAACTGCGGTTTTGGGGGTAAAAATAAATGGCCAAATGTGGACAACTGTGGATAATTTGGTTTAACCTAGTTCTTAATAATGATATTGATTCATCGAAATGTTGTAACTGTTGGTTTAATGCTAATTAAACCAATAATCAAATTTTATGATAGTCCCAAGTTTTGACGGAGGCTATAGTTGAAAGGAAAGCTTATCTAGTGGCTTAAAAGAGAAGTTTCGGAGAAAAGAGGTTGTCACAGGTCATCTTTGGATGTTCATACCTGTTTAGAATTTTAACATGTAGTGAAATTTACCAGGCACAAGTAGACCCTTCCACATTAGAAATCTGTTTCTTACAATTTCAAAGATCATGATAAATATCAAAAGTAGATATTATACAAAACCAGCTTGTTATCCTGTTATTTAAGTAGCCCACCAAAGGAATTGCAATAATATTCCTTCCTGGGGAATCTGGTAAATGTCACCATGCTGGAAAATACATGAATCCTGAAATGAGAGACAAGACCCTCTAGGACTGCAGTCCTCATCAGTGTTTCAAAGCAAATGCAATTTCCAAGTCTCAATAAGAGTCCACTTCGTAGGTGAACTTAAACAGCGTTCAGATGGGATCAATTCTTTTAGAACATATACCCCCAGATAGGACCTAACATGAACTTGCCACAGACACACCTACATGGTAACAAACAGTAGTAAATCATGTTCTCGAGGGGCTGAAACAGAAGTGGATCACAGTTCCTCTGGGTCATTTTTTTTAAAGATTTTATTTATTTGACAGAGCACAAGCAGAGGGAGAGAGAGGGAGAAGCAGGTTCCCTGCTGAGCAAGGAGCCCGATGTGGGACTCAATCCCAGGACCCTGGGATCATGACCTGGGCCGAAGGCAGCCGCTTAACTGACTGAGCCACCCAGGCGTCCCCCTCTGGGTCATTTAAAAGGCGTTCCTATGGGCGCCTGGGTGGCTCAGCTGTTTAAGCGTCTGGCTCGTGATTTTGGCTCAGGTCATGATCTCATGAGTCATGGGATAGGACTGAGCCCCAAGTCAGGCTCCACGCCCAGTGGGGAGTCTGCTTAAAGATTCTGTCCCTCTCCCTATGCCCTGCCCCCTTCCCGTGCGCAGGCACACTCTCTTTAAAGTGAATAAATCTTAAAAAAAAAATAAAATCCCATTTAAAAAGGACCCATTTATTATTGGTTTATTTCATAAAATCAAAGAAATAATGTCAGTCTTTGAAACTTCACACACTTTGTTCACTAGCTAAAATCTGTGAATGAATCAGAGAACATATAGCAGCTTGTATTAACAGGGAAAAAAATTCATTTGTAGTAAGTGAAATGTAAGGTACCTTACATCATATATATAATGATACATATATATACTGATAATATAACTGATTTTTCAAACTTAAACTTCAGGTACCACGGACTACATCTGGTGAGTCCCACCAGGAAAGCGAAGGCAATGATGTTTCTAAACACAGAAGCCCTTGGGGCACCTGGGTGGCTCAGTCGCTTAAGCATCTGCCTTGGGTTTGGGTCATGATCTCGGGCTCTCTGCTCAGCGGGGAGCCTACTTCTCCCTCTCCCTCTGCCTGCTGTTTCCCCTGCTTATGCTTGCTTGCTCTCTCTCTCTCTCTCTGTCAAATAAATAAATAAAATCTTAAAAAAATAGTAAACACAGGAGTCCAAACATCAGGGAACACTACAAGGTAACCCTGTGTGCGCTGAGTAATACTCTTAAATTGCTTTTAAAAGGGCACATCACATCAGTGAAGGGAGATGCCACCTGCTGGCCAACTCATAGAATGGCAGGAAAACCATGAGTTAACGGGCTTCAGAAGCTGCCATGACAAACCATACTTTTTTTTAGAAGAAGGAAAACGAGAGTATGCTATAGATCATTTTACCCCCTCTGAATTTATGGAGAGCCACGTGTGAAGTGGTTGCCCCAGAACATGCCCTGGCAGCAGCGGCGGCACAGTCCTGTGGGCTCCTGCCTCAGAGTGCTTTCCTGACCACGCCGGGCAAGGAGCTGACGCCGCAAACTCTGCTAGAAAGACACTCTGCATGAGTGCTGTCCCCCCAGGATGATTCAACCTCAATAAAGATATTGTGCCACTCCAAGACACCCTGACCAAATAAATATCCCAGCCACACCAGACCCATCTCCTTTCTGTTCCATCATCAATTCTGCACCAGGGAGCAAAGAAGGGTTCAGATTTGGGTCTCCTCATCCTCTCCAGAGTCTACAGATAGCTTCTTCAACGAGAAGGGGCACACACAATGCACTCAGTGGCTCTGATTTAGTCACAAGCAAAGTATCCTTAGAAAACCATGGCCTATTATGACAAAAATGGCCAAATCATGAATTCTATGTAACAAGTCAGTGAATTTTGTGCTGTATAGCCACAAGGTGGTGGTCAGCATGAAGTCAGAGGGCAAAGGTTAGCAATGCCAATCCAACTTTAGCAGTAAGAGATACCTCCCCAAACCAAGATTCTATGTGCTTTGGTAAGTACGCTGCTATGGCAGAGATGGGTGCGTCGTTTGCGTATTTCTTAGAAGCTACTACCCAGAGTTCTGGGCTCTGGGGATACATCAGCAAACCAGAGGCAAAGCTCTGTGCTGATCAGGGCACCCACTTTAGTGTAGGGAAAGATGATGATGAGTAAGTATTTGTAGCACATGATGTAAGGTGACAAGGGTGCTGCAAAAAAAGAAAAAGCTGAGGTGGGGGAGGTGTCTGGGTATGTATTCGTGACAGGCTGGGGTTCCAATTTTAACTAGGTGGACATGATAAGTCTCATGGAAAAGGTAACAAATGAGCAAAAATTTGAAGGACAAGGGGGAGTTAGCCATGCAGGCATCTGTGGAAAAACCCCACAGAGCAAACAGCAGTGCGAAGTCCTGATACAGGAGCTCATCCAGCATGAGTGAAGATCAGCAAGGAGGTCATGGTGGCCACAGCACGGGGTAGCATGAGGCAGGAGGGTGAGGAAGTGCCAAAGGAGAGTTCAGAGAGGCACAGGGCTGAAGAGGCAGATCAGAGGGGCCTCGGAGACCAACTGCAAGGCTCTGGCTATTCCTCTGAGTGAAGAGGAGGCAACACAGGTTGTCAGCAGTAGAAACACAATCTGATCTACTTTTGACAAGGATGGCTCTGGCTGCTGTGTTACACGGGGGTGGGGGTCACTACCACTGACAGTATCAAAAACCAGTGTAATACACACGCATTTATCATTTTGTATCAGGAGGAAATTCTTATGTTGGCAATAGTATCCATCTTGCTAACTTGGCTGACATATTACACCTACCCTCTTGAGGGTCCCCTGGGATTTTGGTCAGCATGCTATTTCTCAGTATAAAGCCCCCTTTCCCTTAAGAAAATGCACAGAAGCAGAAAAGAAGAGAGTGAATCCAAAAGGAAGGAGTGATGGGGACCCTGTGCCCAGGGCTCAGAACTCCAGCAGGAATAGAAGCAGGGAGGCCAATTTGGAGGCTCCTTGCAGAGATCCAGGGAAAGCTGACAACAAGGTAGTGAGAGGTGCCCAGACCTGGGAGCATGGAGGACAGCACCAAAGAAATCGCCCACAGGCTGGATGTAGAGAAAGAGAGGAGGCAGGGACTCCTGTGGTTTGGGAGTGAACATCATGGCGGGGTATCAGAATTCTGACTCAGACACACTGGGTTGGAGGTGACGGTCAGCAGACAGGAGGGTAGAGGAATCTGAGGTGTGGAGAGAGGTGTGGGCTGCAGATAGACTTGCGAGCCACTGGCATACAGATGATCTGTAAAGCCATGATTCCAAGTGCAGAGAGAGTACCAAGGGAGCAATGTGGAGTGAGAGAAGACAAGAAGTCAAGCCCAGGCTGCCCCACACGAGAGGGTGGGGAGAAGAGGAGGCACCATTAGGCGCCTGTGACAGAGGCCGAAAGAAGGCATGAGACAAAAGAGAGGAAGAGGGACCCCTGTCTGATGCCAAAGTGGGCTCAGGGAGTGTTCTGACCATTCAGATAGGACACAACTATACTCCTAATAAGAGCATGCCTCATCAGCCTGGCAGGAACAACCAATGGCCTCCACTACCGTTTCTCCTTCTCACTCACACCTCCTGTCTTCCACGGTACTCGGGACAGTGTTACACAAACATCTGTCTCCAGATCTGAGGCAGCCTCCGGAGTCTGACAAATGTCTTCCTCTTGCCAAGGTGCCCTGAGCCCTGCCGGCAATCTCCTGACTGAGAAGACAATGTGAAACAGGAGGAAGCTCCGCACTGGGGCCAGCTTTGCCTCAGCTCTGCTGGTTCCAACCTGAGTGGTCCCACGCAGTGCAGTCCTTCCAAGCCCTAACTTCCACACCCATAAAGGGGCCTCTGTGTTGTAAAGCTGAAAGCAGTTAAATTCACAGCATGCCAGCAAGAACAGAGCCTGGGAAACAGTGGTGCTCAGTGAGGATTTTCTCCTGCCTCTCTTCTTTTGCTTCTATAAACCACAGCTCAGAAAACCAGACCTGCATGAAACAGGTGTGGCCAAGCTGGCATTCAGCTCTCTTCCTCCTCCAGGTCAGGGCCTGAATATAAAGGTGTGCATGTGCCTGCAGTCCTGAAGCTCCCTTCACGGGGCCACAGAAGGCCTTGGCGACCAAGAGGAAGACTTCTGCTAAGTCATTCGGACATGAATCACCCAGAGCAGAGATAACAGGCAGGCCTGGTAAACTTCACCCAGCTCTCAGGTGCCAGGTGCTCACCCTAGGAGAGGCCCATCCAGTCCTCAACCTGTCAGGCCCCCCACCCTCCACGTGAAGCCATCTCAATGGCTCTGCACCACTCAACTCTACTGGAAGGGAGAGGGCTCCCCGAGTCATGTCATCTACTTGCCTCGTACCCAGCTTGTGGAGGAACTGTGCCCTGGCTTACCTTCTCGATGTCTACCAGTTCGGTCTCATAGATCTCCGCAATGGTGATGTGGTGCTTGGCTGCGATCGTAAACCTTCCCTGGGGGGAAAAACAAAAAAACAGAGTCACGTTTTGCTTTTACCTTTTTGAATGCCAATCCCTTTGGGAAACAAAAAACAACAGCAAAAGTACAACTGTAAGCCATCTCCAGGATTCCACCCCACAGCCGCTCAAGCAAGGCAGTGTCTTACCATGTCTGTGTAAATGTCGATGGCTGCATTTAAGCAGTTGATAGCCTCTGAAGCGAAGGCATTTAAGAAAAACAATGAAAAATCCATTCAGTCAAAGAGGGTTCCGGGGAGCCTATCTTCCTGGCTGTTACTAGAACGTTAAAGAGGTTGCATTTGGGGTGGACGGTGGGCAGCCGAGTTAGTAAAAAGCAAGCAGAAATCACACAAGGCCAGACACCTCGGTATGCTTGGTCCCCAGCAGGGGTAGTGCAATTTAGAGAACTGGAGCTGGCGTGGGACTGGCTCAGTACTCTCAACCTGACAGTGAAGACCCCATCCAGGGCCAAGACTGCATTAAAAAACAGACAAACCATGAGGGTTGTCATCGACACTGATCAGCTCTAGCTGCTAAAACATAAATGTAAATGCATTCTTCACTGATATCATGTATATATATGAATTCTGGAAGACAGTCCTTCATAAGGAAGATCATTTCAATAGATTTGATTCTTCATGCAGCCAAAATCAAAAGCACTTTGAAATACCTGTTCAAACAACTCTTAAGCAAAGTCAACATTTCATACAATGTTAAAAGATGCTAACTTTTGGTGTACCAGTATATGCCAGAAGGAAGAAAAAAAATCTAGTAAGTGATACTGCTAATAAATTCTATTAATTTTCTGAAACACTGAACCAACAAATTTCCTGTCACAAAATGGTGGTCCTTATAATGTTGACATATGGGCAACAGCTCCAAATTTATTGCTTTTGCTTTAAAGGAGGTAGCAAAGAGAAAAGGCCTGACTGAAGAATTAGAAAGGTACACAGATTAACAAAATTAAAAGCAACTTTCTCCCAAGCTATATTAAGAAATGTGGTTTGTTACACCTTTAAAAATACAAAAAAATAAGCTACCCAGAATGCCACTCAAACCCACTGCTAGTATTTTGATGCACTTTTCCTTCCAGTGTTTTCTGGATGCATTTCTATGTGCACATATTTCTTTATAAATTTGAGATCTCAATTCTCATGTGGTTCTTTGGTTACCATGTGGACAATGACCAGTCATTGAAGAAGCTCTGAATCCAGGGACTTTAATGCCTGCATCATATTCTAGAATACTGATGCACTGTAATTTTACCATTCTATCCTTGCTGTTCATTTAGGCCGCGTCCAGTTTTTCACATTCGGATATAGAGTGTGACAATCTTTATACAAAAGCCCTCGAAGCATTTTCATTCTCAATGATATATATTCATAATAAAAGTTAGGATTTTTGTGTTAAAATACACTGCTAAAAGAGAAAAATGGGAGACTCCACAGCCTCCAGCACGTGTGCTACAGGAATAAGTTAGTACTTTTAATCACCAAATGTATACTCTTAACTAAAAAAAAAAAAAAATTTGCAAAATTTTGCCACTTTAAATACCCAAGTTCATTCTTTCTTCAAAACCAGTACTTTGAAAAACACTCTTTAAAAAGTCAGGTGAATACTGTGTGAATAAGTTGTTTTTAACTATCAGATATTATAATCTCCCATTAACTGGATCTTAAAATGCACCAGGTATTTAGGAGTGAGGGACCATTCCTTTTCTTTAATGAGTAATAATATATTCATAAAATTAAATGGCATTTAAGAAAACAGTGCTTGGGCGCCTGGGTGGCTCAGTTGGTTAAGCGACTGCCTTCGGCTCAGGTCATGATCCTGGAGTCCCGGGATCGAGTCCTGCATTGGGCTCCCTGCTCGGCAGGGAGTCTGCTTCTCCCTCTGACCCTCCTCCCTCTCATGCTCTCTGTCTCTCATTCTCTCTGTCTCAAATAAATAAAAAAAATCTTTAAAAAAAAAAAAAAAGAAAAAAGAAAACAGTGCTGTCAACTAAACATCTAGGACAAATTGAACATAATTTCGCCTCATAAAAGCTCAAAATGATTACAGAAAAATCCCTGAAATTACTAAAATGTCTATTTTCCCAAAGCGCAAAAATTTATTTTTACCAGGACTCCAAGGTCCAGCAGCATACCCTGTGAGAAAGGTCCCTGACATCGACCCTACAGTTCTAGTTGCGCAGAGATGGAGGCACATCTTACCTTGAGGGTCTGCCTTCTTGTAAGCATTGCCAGCATCCACAAAGCTGGTGGCAGAATCATGCTTGCTCTGAAGCTGCATATGGAGCTTGGCTGCCTGACAAAATGCATTTCCTGCAGCTGAAGAAGACAAGTCACTACAATTAATCACAGAGGAGCAGGTGTCCCCAGGGTGGTCCGTGCTCTAAGTGCTGGACCTACCCCTAGAAAAGTTCCTTGTCACTGAAAAGAAGCATTCCAGTCAGAAGCACATGTAAATGTGGTCAAGTGCACTTCAGGTATGTGTAAAGAAACCAGAACCAAGTTCAACGGTGACAAAAGTGTCTCTCAGCCCCAGGAAACCTCCCAAGGGGCGCCTGGGCAACAGGCCTCCATTTAGTACCAGAGCCAGTCACATTCAACTCTGTCCCCCAGCATATATTAAACACTGACCAGGGCTTCAGGCCACAAGTGTTTAAAGAAAGGTAAAACACTGAGGTCAAGGATACTTATTTATTCATCTTTCTATCTCACAGTGTCCATTGGACTTGGCTGTCATTGTTGAAGAAAGCGTTAATGGAAGTTTCTTGGACATAGTAAGTATCTCAAAGAGTGAAAATCAAGGCCCACAATTTCAAAACTCGAAGTTTCTTAAGTTATAACAAAATCGGACTGAACTTCATATGAGGTTTAACATGTCTTTATCTCCCACTTAGTGTGAAAACTTGCACATTCCCTGTGGGATGACGGATGGGTTTGGTTACAGGGTGCTGTCCAGGTTTCTGTTGGAACAAGGCACAATGTGAAAGTTTTATGCACTTAATTTTTTCAGAAAAGGTTTTGATCAGGGACTGCAGATTCTGGAGCGGCAGAAAAGAATGAGGGAAGGAATCCCTAGCATAGGAGTCACACGAACAAGGAACAAATGCTTGAAGGTAAGAGAAGGCAGGGAACAGAGGCCAGTGACAAGTCCATGCTGCCTGCAGGAGGGATGAACACAGTGGGCAGGGGAAGTGAAGGCTGAAGGTGCCATGGGCCCAGTTCTGGGAGGCTTAAATGCCAGCACGAGGAACCTGGACAAGGATGAGCCCACCCACTGTCCTGAAGTTCTTGGCTCAGAGAGAACCACCACAGACTGGGAAGCACGAGGCCTGTGGAGTCACAGCTCAGTAAGGTCTGGAATAGGGAAGTCAGCACTAACAGGAATGGATGGGAAAGAGATCCCTCCACTAGGAAAAACATGATGAAGAATATCATAAGAATTTTTGGTACTTAAAAAAAAATGTTTTTAGTCATTTCAAAAACATTCAGAAAAGTACAGAAAATCATGACAGACACCAAAAAACCCACTGCTGGTATTAAGAAATAAAGCATTCAATTCCACAAAGCTTTGGCTATCATCCCTTATTCTGACCCCTCTTCCAGAGGTAACCACACAATTCCTACTCAGGCTTCTGGACTTCCACTAAGGGAAAAGAAGCAGTACAGACTCCTGATCCAGCCTGCCCAGGCTCAACTCTGGCTCTGTGCCAGACAAAAAGAGTGCCCAGGCAGTGTTGAAAATACTCAGCCATCAGTGCGGCACAGGCACTGAGCAATCAGAGAGGAAGTGGCCCCCAGTTGGAGCTGGGACTGGAGAACACCTGCCCACCAGGCTTTACCCCTTAAACTGGTGACTCATAGGGCTGGCAGTCCCAGAGGAGGGGCCAAGCCTGCCGCCAGGGGAGTAGGCAGGCACATGGGTACCTGTGACAGCAGCTAACTGAATGGCAGCTCTGATGGGCTCTGCCTAAGGAGAGTACAGTAATAGCTTGGACCTCCCAAGTAAAGTGCTTCCAAGAGACTGGCTCCTGTTATGCATGCATTGGCCAATCTCATTAGTACACGCGAATCTATCCTTAGACCATACCTTTATAAAATACAAAAGATAAAAATTGCTGAGACAATGTCTTTTCTCCTCTATTGTTTCATTATGTTATAATTCAGGTATAAGTACATTTTGAAAACATAACACATCCTTTTAACCTAAAACTAAACCTATAAATGAATTTTAGTCAGAAAGGAACTTTCAGATTCATGTATTTCTACAGCAATTTCTTCACAGAAATGCTTTTAAAGTTTCAGCCTTAATGGGTAAATCAACACAGCATACACCCTAAGCTTATACAATGTTATAGTCCATTATATCTCAATAAAACTGGGGGGAAAAAGCAGATGGGGAAATGATTTGTAGAGGGCAAAGGCCCTACTTTAGATCACACAGCAGGTGCAAGCCAGGGCTAGAGACTCAGTCCCTCCTCCAGCTGAAGGCAGTCTCTATTTTTACGACAGAAAGACCCTATCACAGAGACACAACAAGCCCCTTTTTACATGGTAGGGGATGAATTTGTTTCTCAAATCAGTGTTAGAAACAGTCATCCTTTCTCAGACCAGTAAAATAATTCCACTGTTTTGGAACTGATTTTGTTACGTGTAATTTCACTGGATAGAAAGTGTTAGTAAGTGACAATAAAAATGTTGAGGTTTATAGAAATAACACCCTCACTGGGTGTTCCATTTCTCAATGGAAACTCAATCAGCTATCACAGAGCTGTTCCCACAGCAAGAAATTCTCACCCAATGTTTAGGTAAAGAAAAATAGGCTTTGTTCACTTAGATCAAGGTTCTTTTCTCCCAGACCACAGTGGCCACACCAGTTACTCCAGCACGCACACCTGTCTCAGCCAACAGGAGGAAATGCAGACAGTTATTTCTTCCTTCAAGATGATTTTAAAGTTATTTGCCTGAAAAGCAAACAAACAAAAACTTTATACATACCACTCCAATTTTTAGCCATCTTGAACATATTTGCAGCTCTGGTATACATTTCACAAGCCTCTTCTATTTTTGTGTTTCCTCTGAGAAAAATTTAAAAAGGAGGTTAAGTTTTACTACAGCAACCATCCACATCTCTAATTCTCCCTCCCTCAAATAATAAGCATTTAATGAGCACTTACTATGTGCCAGACAAGTATTAACAGCTGCTCACTCAAAGCATACACTCTTATTATCCCTATTTTCCAAATGAGGAAACTGAGGCATACAAAAGTAAAGTAACTAGCCCAAGGTCACATAGCAAGAATGCCACAGAACTGAGACTCAAATACAGATCTGGCTGATCTCAGAGCCATGCCCTTAACCAATTTCCATGCATGGAAATTGCAGTTTTAAGTCAATCGGAGAAATAAGAAGTACATTATTCAAATGAGATTAAATTTTGAAGGTTAAAGACATTTTTACCCTGTTAATTTTTAAGAGTTTGGCACTATGTTTATTTAGACTTTAAAAACAAAAAAACAAAAACCTAAAGCCAGAGCATAAAAGAAATGCCATGTTTTTTGACTGCTATATTATCACCTCTGGCAGGAGACAAGCTCTTCTCCAACGTGGAAGGGGCCTCAGAGTCCAGCCCATCACCCCATGTGGAAATGCATTTACGACATCCTGAGAGAAGGAAACTCTACTGCTGCTTGAATACATACTGTTCTGGAAAGTTCTCCACTAGACAGCTGATTCCACTGAGGGACAGCTTTAGCTGTCAGACATTTCTTCTTACACAAAGGCAAAAATAATCCTCTGTAACTAGCACCAGAGTTTTCCAATTTGACCTGGTTCTTCCTAAAAGCTAAACTAAGACCCCTCAATAAATGATGTTTCTCTACCTCGTCTATCTACGCTATAAACATAAATAACCAGAAGATGAAGACAAAGTACCGGGTGCAGTGCACATGAGGAATTCAGAGTGGTTTAAGGACATAAGGACTAAGAGAAAGGGGAGATCAAGGCTCACTCTTCAAGAGTAGGCAGAGTATGAACAAGAGTGAGCACACAGGCATATGCCAGAAACTCAAAGAGGCTCCGAGCTCCGGCAGAGGGGAATGGACAGCCCTGTGTCAATTCGTGTCCCAGTGCGGTACACTGAGGCTCATGTGTGACTTGCACCTTAGGCAGTAACTACTGTCTTACCCCAGGCTAGTTCTTTAACTTCTCTGGGCCTCAGTTTTTGCATGTGTAAACAGCGGATAATAGATCTATACTTGTTGGTCATTATAAAGATCAAAGGAAATAATCCATATATAGTGGCCACTGCAGGGCTTGACCCAGAGGTAGGTACTCAGTCAGGATGATTACTATAATTAGATTCATGTACTGAAGGCATAAAAACTTTTGGGCATATTTGTACAAATAAGGGACATGTCTGCTAAGGGACTTATATCTGAAATATGTAATGAACTCTTACAATTCAATAATAAAATGACCAATAATTAAAAAAATAGACAAAGGATCTGATTAGACATTTCCTCAAAGAAGATATACAAACAGCCAATAAGCACATGAAAAGATATTCAACATCATTAGCCATCAGGGAAATGCAAATCAAAACCACAAATGAGATCTCATTTCACACCAATAAGGATGGCTAGAATCGAAAGATAGTAACAAATGTTAGGGAGGATGTATAGAAACTGGAACCCTCCTATACTGCTGGTACAAATGTAAAATGCTGCAGCCACATTTAGTTAGTTGCTCAAAAGGTTAAACATAGAGTTACTATATGACCCAGCAACTCCACTCCTTGGTACACACCCAAGAGAAATGAAAAGACTACGTCCACACAAAAATTTGTATATAAACGTTCAACCCTAGCATCATTCATAACTGCCAGAAAGTGGGAACAACCTAAATGTCCATCAACTGATAAAAAAATGTGGTATACGCATACAATGGGATATTAGACAATAAAAAGAAATGAAGTACTGATAGATGCTCTAATATGGATAAGCCTTGAAAACATTATGTTAAATGAAAGAAGCCATGAGCATATTGTAAGATTTCACTTCAGAGTAAGCAAATCTATAGAGACAGAATACAGATTAGTGGTTGCCTAGGGTTCTGGAGAAAAATGGGGAGAGGCAAGGAGAGTAGTTTCTTTTTGTGGCGATGAGAATGTTCTAAAATTGATTGTTATGATGGATGCACAGCTTTGTGACTATGCTAAAAACTACTGAATTGGACACTTTAAATGGATGAATTATACGGTATGTGAATTATATCTAAAGCTGTATCACTCCCGCCCCCCCCCACACACAAAAAGAAAAAAGCCTTTGGGGGCTATGTCACACAGCGAATGACAGGATGGCGACAAGCCACCCCAAAAATGCAGTGTCAGAATTAGCAAAGCTTTCTTTCAATCACACCTTCATATATTAAAACAACAACAAAACAATTAGCTAATTACCCCAGTGGAAAATTCCTAAGTTTCTGATCTTAGCCATAACTCCTTGGAGCTAACAAAGGCTTACCACTTTCTTATTTTTCTAAAAAGTGTACCAGGACTCCTGCACTGTAATTATAGTTCAATCATTCTCATTAAAGGTTTCCAAATAAAACTAGTTTAATTAAAATGTACTTTACCCTATTATTTTTGGAGACAGATTCAGCTAGGAATAATAGAACATCTACATTATGCTAGGTTTTATGCTGGATATTTCCACATGTTATGTCATTTTCATCATTATTACAACCACAATGAAAGATCCTAACTCCATTTGACAGAAGAGAAAGCTGTATCTGGGGATGCCTGGCTCAGGTCATGATCTGGGGATCTTGGGACTGAGCCCTGCGTCAGGCTCCCTGCTCAGTGCGGAGCCTGCTTCTCCCTCTCCCTCTGCTTGTGCTCTCTCTCAAATAAATGAATAAAATCTAA